TTTTCATGAAGAAACATAAATAAAACAAGCTGAGTCTTGATAGTTACGTAGTGAATTCGGAATTATAGTCTACTCTAAACTGTTAGTGTCGCCAAGGAGCTTACAGATGTCGCTGTTATAATTTTACGAAATAAATATCGCGTATTTTTATTTAACGAGAAATTATTTCCTATGTATAGGGTCAAGAGCACATCAAGCTCGACACTAAAGGTTTAAATTAAACTTTATGCCGCTTGCAACAAGAATGATCCAAAGTCCAAAGTGTCAAGCTTGATGAGCTCTTGACTGTACTATTAAATAAAAAAATTAAATATTGAAGAGATCAATGTAAATAAATAAGTTCAACATAGTTTTAATCATTACAAATCAATATTTAGACAATGAATTCGAAAATAATATTGTTTTAATCAATGCGTCCGAGGAACTATTTTAAGATTGCTGAATTTGACAAAAGAACAATAGTACTTACTTTAATGATAAAGTCGCGTCACAGTACGAACTGAATGAATAAATGGTCACCAAGTTGTCAATAAAACATCATTACCATTAACATTATAATAAGCTTACTTTAAGCGCGCCATGGTACGAAATGTCAATGTAAGGTTAAAGTAATGTTGTTTTAAGAGGTTTAGGAGCGTTTTTAAGGGTGAGGGTGCTGGTGAAATTACAAGCACATGGGACTTGTTAACTTAATGTCTCCGGGTAACGGGCGCAGTGGTAATGCCCCTCAGGTCTTTGCAATTTAAAACTCTGAGTGGCACTGTAACTGTTATGGACAGGCGTGTAGCTTTCCATCAGGCGCACGACTCGTTCGTCCCGTCACTGGATGTTATAAAAAACCAAATAATTACAATCAGCGTGTGTACCTTGTACATACCTACTATGATGTAAAGAGCAGCATTATGAATTATCAAATTTGGTCACAAAACGTTGACATAACCCGTTCACGATCAGTTGATCAGTAAGTCACTACTTTCCCTTGCGTCGTTGATTCAATATAATAATGTATGTAATATAATAATACGTGCCGGTAATCCAGAGGCTAAAGAGTCGCCATAGCTTCATTAAAGTTCTTTAATACCTAATACTTCTTTGATACCCTCTGGACGGGGAAACTAAGCAGGCCCAAATAAGTCTCTGGAAGGAGAGATATCCCACGGCGTCGCTCATCCCGCTGTCGGAACACCTCCCTCCTGGGCATGATCTACCTTGGCAAACTCGGAAGTCCCTAAATAGGCAACGGACATCTTTTGTCCTGCCCTGCGTGTCTACATCTGCACACGCGAGGACCTGTACAACGCCCCTGATAATGCTATCTCAGTCGCTAAGTATTGGTCCTTACAAATATAAACGTCAAAGTCGACACGCCAAGAAGAAGAATATAATAATTGCGCTTTATCACTGACGGCTGATCCCGTCAAGGTTCTTCTTGTTGCTTTGTTAAATTACTTTTATTTTGATGTCCTAACTGTTATAGATTTTACGACTTTGTTTTTTCACTGTCCTGTGAAGGTGGAAGCCTATAATCAGTGATTCATGACTATTGTTAACGATTATTATTTTTATTTTAAACTCTCGCCTTATGTTTATTATTATTCATTATTATTGTATATATTTTAGACTCATTTTACACTTATTATTATTACTTTTGCTATTTTTATTACTAATATTTGGAAGTATTGGACAAGTATAATTACATTTTCACCTCAGCAGCTCGAACAAGGCTATTTTGCTGTGTGAAATCAGTGAGCAAAATCTTATTTTGCTCACTCCGTGAGAAAAAGTAGCTTTTTGCTTTTTAAGTGGAGACTTGTCATTTAATGCGAAGGGGTCTAATACAAATTCGACATATTTCAAAATCAGTCGCTCCGTCCCTTTCACTTCATTACAAGAAAAAGGAAAAAGAAAATTATGGTTTATTCGTACTTCGATATTTAAGCTACATAGTAGACCCCCACAAAATGGCTGAACGAGTGCACGTTCGGAAACTCGTCAATTCATCTAAAAGATAAATTATGTGAGAAATACAAATACGATTTTATACTATGATAATTTAGTTTTTACAATTTTCATTAAAAATAAAGCAAGTGTTGCAATAAAAATATGCTAAATTTATAACGTCAATTAAAGATAACAATATTTACAATGTGTGATTTCAATGAATACAAGCGAGAACGTTCCGGAACGCAATAAATAAAAGCGCGCTTTCTTTTTTTTTAATTCAAAATTTCTTATTTGCTTGCGATAGGTACTTCTTTGATAGTTAATTGGATACCTACCTACGTAATAAAATAGAAAATATGAGCGATTCCAGTGAAGACGACAATTTTTTAACTCCTCCAGAGTTAGTTGAAACTGTTAAAAATGCTGAACTAAGTTTCTTGCCTAGTAAATCTCGTGAAAAGTACCTGAAAGTCTACGAACATTTTGACAAATGGAGGCACGAAAAGGGCGCAGGAAACACTACGTCGGAAACTGTGCTTCTGTCTTATTTCATTGAAATGTCGCATACAAAACAGCCGTCAACGATGTGGAGTATATATTCGATGTTGAAAGCTACATTACAAACTAAAAATAACGTCCATATAAACACTTACGCAAAGCTGATTGCGTTTTTGAAAAGATCGGCCGTCGGCCACAAATCAAAAAAATCGAAAGTTTTCACGGCTGCTAATATTGAAAAATTTCTTAATGAAGCTCCAGATTGCACTTTCCTAGCCGCAAAAGTAAGTATTGAATATTATTACTGTTGTCGTAGCGTTATATTTTAATTGTTAATACAATTTGGACTTTGGTAGTTATGTTATCAATTTCTATCAACATAATTATACTTACCTACTTAAATGTGTTGTTTTGGCGACTTGTATTGGAACTTTATGGTTAAAAATAACGCTACAACTATGAGAAATCCACGTTTAAGACTGCTCTAAAAGACACAATACTTATTGACGTTTTATTTATGTTTCAGGTCATCCTTATCATTGGAATAAACGGAGCATGCCGCTCCAACGAGTTATTGAATCTAACTCCTAATGCCATTGAACAACATTCCAGCGACCTTCTTTTGATTAACCTGCCAAATACGAAAACAAATATAGACAGGTCGTTCGTCGTCCGTGAGGAATACGCACACGTTGTCCAGAAATATAAAGCATTGCGCCCTCCCAATACGATCACAGACCGCTTTTTCATACAATATCGTAATGGAAAATGTACGCGGCAACCGATGGGTATTAATAAAATAGGAGCGACTGCACGAGAAATCGCAACATTTTTAGATTTGAAAGAGCCGCAGCTATACACTGGCCACTGCTTCAGGCGAACATCAGCCACTCTTTTGGCAGATGGAGGAGCTGACCTCACAACGTTGAAGCGCCATGGCGGTTGGAGATCAAATACAGTGGCTGAAGGATATATCGAAGATTCAATAGAAAATAAATCAAAAATCTGTAAGCGTATTATAGATTCGATAAACCTAAAACAGACTTCGCATTCTTGGGCACAACCTAACACCTCCAGTGATGCGAATCATACCCAAACCCGCCCAGAATCACCAACTTTTACGGTGCGGGAAGGGTCACAATCCAGCTCAACTCATAATGAAACCTCGACCACTACTCAAGTAGCAAACACTACGACGATTACTGTTCCAAATAAAACAGTAACTTTTAATCTACAGAATTGTACAAACTTCACGTTCCACTTTTAATTTTTTGTAAATTCTGTATTTTTGTAAATATACAATGATGCATTTGCTTTCATGACGTGTTTTTATTACTTGTCCCTTTAGTATATATATATGTTCTCGCTGCTGAGGTGAAAAGTTGTATGTATCACGCGAGAGCAAAGTTATTTTGTAGCTCGTATTTTTGAGTCCCTCGCTTCGCTCAAGATTCTAATTCTGAATCACTCGCTACGCTCGTGATTCAACTATAGAGTCTTTCGCTTGCTCAGGACTCAAAAACAGCACTCGCACCAAAAAACGACTTTGCTCTCTTGTTGAACAAATAACTATTCGTATACCTTGATGGTACGACGGCGAATAAAATGATTTGATTTGATGAAAGATACGAGTTTTCAATTATTTTTTGTGGTGGTGGGCGTTGAAAGGTCAAGTGCCTACAAGTTTGGGAACCTATGTTATATTATAATAGCGAAACGGGCTACCCCGTACCGTCGTGTTCTGATATTAATTTTAATGTGAAGGTTGTTACTGTCCATGAACGGGCTAATTTTAATAATATCGATGGTGAATATTTGAAATGTCATAAAGGACATTTTGTCGTAAGGGAAAATGACCTTACGACAAAATGTCTCTTAGGCATTTCAAATATCCACCACCGTCAATATAAAGGTAATAATTTCGTCGTCGTATCGAATTCTTTGCAGTAAGGAACATTTTCCATTACAACAAATATGCACACATAGACAACAAATATTTCTCCCCGTCCGGGAATGGAACCCAATACCTCTGCGTGGCAGACCAGCATGATAACCGTTCGGCAATTAGTAGTTTTGTTACTAATATGAAACGCTGAAATATAACAATATTAAAAGGCCAATTTATAAAATGGCACCGTTTCATGATTGGCCCGATTCTACGAAAGGCATACGGGTACCTTGTACGAGACATGCAGTACACGGGCGCCGTTGCGCGGGTATAGCGTACTTCCGAGGTATAGGGACAAGACGCGAAGCAATGAAAATATAGCTACAAGACAATCATTTATTGGGCACAACAATTAACATTTAAAAGTATCGAGTTCTTAGGTTTTCGCGATTGTTACACATAGGAAATGAAACTATTTTTCCGGATTTAAATCGCGTATATTTGTTTTTTCAAGTCAACCGTGACCATGGGACCTGTAAAGGGCCCGAAACGTCGGTTTGTTTGAAAAAACAAATATACGCGATTTAAATCCGGAAAAATAGTTTCATTTCCTATTTAAAAGTAATCGAGAAACTGTTATATTTTAAATGTTTCGAAAATTTGTGGTACAGCTGTTACAAAAATATACTTTGTATATTTTTTGAAGGCGTTATGGTAATTGACGTATTAAATTCAATGTAGTCATTAATTGTCTGCTAAAGAACACCACAAACAAGAAGTTCTTGTTTGTAGGTTCTAAACAGAGCTGCTAACTCGAAACGTAACATTCATAAAGTATTCTTGCTTTTGTAGTACATTTCAATGTTTAGTTTAAGTGCAAAAATAAATGCTATGGCAATCACCACAGTGCAGTCGAGGGAGTTCTATAGAACGAGGTAAATAAAATTATCCATCTCGCGGGCACTGCGCAGTCTTGCTTAAATAGAAAATATACTTAAATACAACATTATATAAAGAAGTATAGTATATAAGTATTTGGTATTTTAACTTTTAAAGTGAATAAATCGTTCGTAAAGTAATTTTAACATTACCTACAAAAAACTTCAAGACATTTTAAATGTTGAAAAACCAAATAGTTCACTATGTCCGACTTTGCTGGAACATTCAAAGCCTTAATTAATATCGATAAGGAAAATATGTAGGTAATTCATAAGTCCCCAAGTCATTTTGCAATGTTATAAACCTATCATGCGCCGTGCAAGAAAAGAATATATAATAGATTACAAGCGTTTACCGGCTGCACAGCCGTTTACGAGCTTAACCTTAAAACTTATATTGAAGCGAACGAGACGCGTCCCGTAGCGCGGCCACAGAGGACGTTTGTGTTTTCAACTGTCAAGTAGCAAAAAGTACATAATACTAACCAGAACAAACAAGCTTTAAACATAACGGTGTGCGTCCAAGCGAAAGTTACAGGTGTTTAAATTGCTAATAAAGTAATTTCGCACAAAGGTGGGTCCTTCTCATTCCCAATGGATTTTGGTACTCGAATAACACTTATAAGGACACGTATGTCTCGATTCCAATAAAATGTAATGAAATAAAATTAAATGCCTTTTTCTACCCGTACATGCAAGTACGCAACAACTAGTAGTCGGAGGTACCGGTTTTCATAAACTTATTGCATCACAGCTGTGCGCTGAGGCAATGGTAAACGTTATTGCGTTTATATGTTCTTTGATTTGAAACAATGTAGAATAGAAATATGAATCAGACAGGATGATCTGACGGTAATCAAAGATACACGCACACAATACGGCGGCGTCTTAATCGAGAGCGGGGGTGTAACCTAGGCTTAAGAGTAGAGCAGAGGCTGCATGGCGCCAACTTAGGCGGTGTTGTAGACGGCGGGCTTTCGGTCGTCCATCTTGTAGTAGTAGCTCCGAATGACCAGCAGGAAGTATATGCTGATCACTGAAACAGGATAAACACAAATGACAACAAAAGCTCCAAATTTCTTTTTTAAATGTAGTCGACCTGACTGTACGAATAGTAAAAGAATTGTAACGACAGCAACGACACCAACGGCGTCGTGGCAAGTTGGTAAATCTCATTTGTGATTAACTATCTTAATATATTGAATAGGTAATGATAGAACAAGCCGATCATATTATTATTATGTGAAGCAACTTACTGAATCCAACAATGCGCGAGATGGTAACGCCGACGTCGATTTTACCGGCGAAAGAGGCCAGAGTCACGAGGACGCCGAGCACCAATACCACCACCATGCAGATCAAGTACACCTTTACATGTCCTTTCTTGTTCTGTTAGAAATGAATACATGCAAAGTTGAAAGCAACAGCTTATAGTCACAACGAAAAGTTACTTGATTTTAATCCTATAACTATTACTAAAACTAGAATCTATTCATCATAATTTTATAAATTAAGAGCCAGGCTCTTGTCGATTTCTTAAATACCATCGTGTTGTGGTTTCTAATCTGGGTCTTTCTAAACTATGATCTAATGAAATCGTAACAGTTTTATTCGAGCACGGTGCTCGATTTAGTTGCGTCGGAAAAGAAATGAGTCCAACGAAACACCGACGTCTCATTTAGAATGGGTCGTGGATAAATGTCACTGGAATAAATACTCATGATAAATATCCATTTTTACTCGATATTTATCAAAAAACGTGGATAAATATTTTAAATCGTGGTTTATTATTTATATTTAGTAAAACAGAGTATATTTTTAAGCTTAATTGTAAACATTGATACAATTTAGCAGCATGTACGTATAGTATATTGCTTGTTATACCTTTTTGTTCTCTATGCAGTGATCAAATAAATACGTTTAAGTACCGTAAATCCCTGTATTTTTGCGTGAATCTTATTATTTTTAAATGCGTAGTTTGTTAAAAAAAATAATTGTCTCCACAAAATTAATCAGCTGTCTAACATTTTGTACGGAATTTTTTATTCAAGTTACTAATTTGGTTCGTTATTGTACAGTTGTTCAGCGTCGTATATAGAAATAAGGGTTTTTGGTTATTCAATATTTTATTAAAAAAACTGTACAGACTTCATTGGAAATACTTAAACGATAATTAATTCTAACACAAAGGATATTCAATTCAAAATCACTTGGCCACTTTTTTGCCAAAGTCTAAAATCGCTACCGAATAATTTACATGAGTGCGAAAGAAACGGAGAGAGTCGCTAAGGAGAATTGTGTTCACACTTCGCATCAAAACACTTTGTGTACCTACACAATTATAAACATTTATTTTTTATATCATGTGTTTTAATTAATATATTTTGTGTGTGAAATGTGAAAGAGAATCCTTGGGCTATTTCAAGTCCAACCCTGACTTTATTTAGTACGCAGTAGACCCCAAAACCATAAACTCGGGTCGCACTTCATTAATGCAGGATAGGTCAAAACCAAGTGCAAGAGTTCATGTGATAACTTTCTGTCAATCGAACTTTCTATAGCAGCCACTTTTATGTTGATAAAAGTTTAGGTGAGTATGTTGCAATTAGTTTAAATTCCTAGCATTTAGTGAGATGTTGTCGACTCGAAAAACGTAGGTACTTAAACAGTATTGTTACATAAAAAAATGTCAAAATGACAAGTAATCGTACGTAATAATTTAATAAAAAATAAATTTTATTATATAAAACACAAAAATTAATTATCCATGTTTTAGGATAAATACTCAGTCAAATCGGATATTTATTGGACATTTATCCTTTGACGGACATTTATCGGGTAAAAACCCATCTCTTGTCTCATTCGTTTATAGATGTACATATTGAACTCATGTACTTGACTGTGTATGGACACGGTGGAGACAGTGACAATGTTTTTGACCAAGACTCATTTTCATTTAACATGGTATTATAAGAGTACTATGTGGTCTGTGAGAGTATGTTTGTGAAATATTCACACATGCTTATTCTCTGTTTGATGGTTCAATAACATTATAAATAAATAACATTTAAAATGCTAAGTAAATTACTTTCATACAATCGAGGTGTAGCTCAGTAATTTTCAGGTAAGTTTTTGTACTCAATTTTGGTGACAATTTTTATTATTTAATTACTCGAATATATTATCATGAAATATTAAAGAATATTTTAGGTTACCACACTCGAATATTAAATAATACTTCATGATGATATTCTATAAATATTTAAATAAAAAGAAATTGTCACCAAAGTTGAGCACAAAAAACTTACATGAAAATTACCCAGTTGGAAGTGGAAGCCTCCAGTGTCATCAAAAGAGAGTCCAAGGTAAATTATGTGTTAAATTAGGTAGTTAACCGATTGTTAACGAAGACATTACCTTGTGCACGCCGACGAGAAGCACGATGGTGAAGCTCAACATGAAAAGGACGATGACAAGGAAGACGATTGCGATGGCAATTAACGTGATACCTAAATTCCTGTCCATTTCAGTTTCACCCTGCGCTGTCACTATGCTGCCACCGACCAGTAGCACCAGACCCGAAATTATATATATGATCTCCCCCACCTGCAATGCAAACATAACATCTATTACACTTTATCACAGACAACGGCGATTGTATTTTGATTTGTGTCCCATTCTGTGTTGACCTTGAAAGCGAATTGAGCGGTAGGTGTCAAAACGAGAACTTTCTTTCTTTATCACGAAAAGGCACTGCGTCAACAGTTTCGGGCTAATAGATGAAAGTTGTGCCTTCACAGTCGTAGGGCTGAACTAAAATGGTTGTTACCAGACTGAGGTATCCGATGATCAGACACCCGGTGCGGAGGTCGATGCACCCGCAGCAGGTGTCAACTGTCCACGATGGCTGAGACATGACGATGGAGGAGCTCGCGAAGGCTCTGTCAACAAACTCGTGTAATTTGTCGCAGATGTAACTGTTACCATTGAAGTCCCAAAACTTATTAGCAGATAGGTAACCGTCGTTTTCGTGTAGTACCAAACTTTTGATAGATAGTATTTTGTCAACTAAATTTGACAAAGACACTTCATTAATAATTTTAATTGGCAGAAGAGGAAATGTAACAAAAAAGATTTAACACAATATTTTTCACAATTAAATAATTTAATTAATATAAAAGAAATTATTTTGTTAGCTCTTCCCTTCAGCAATAGCCTCACAACAAGTGAAAATAACTTAAATAGAACATTACACAGCTTGACATTTCATTATAGTAAATTTCATTTTATGGATACTAATAATTTTATTAGTAAATATTTTTATTTGCCTAAAGATAGGTATTATCTTATTAGTTATTTTAGGAGACAGATAGCAGAATTGCTATCATATTATATTAATAATTCAGCCAAATCTTCTACAAACCAATCCGTTGATTTAGGTCAGTTTACTGACAATAATCATTCTGTAGAAAAATTCAACTTCTAATTATTTAAATTAATTAATAAGACAACGGAGAGATACTTTTGCAACACAATGACAGTAAAAAACCAACCTAAAACACACAGAAATAAAATAAATTATATATTAAACCTGGCGCACCAAAATATTCAAGGCATGAAAGGCAAAGAGTTAGAAATAGAATTATTTATTAACTGTAATAATATTGATATTCTGTGTATTACTGAACACCACTTTCTATCAAAACATCAGTTCATGTTTAGCTTCAACAAGCACCAAGCGGCTAGTTCGTTCAGCAGAGAAAAAGCTATTCATGGCGGCTCTTTAATTCTTATTAAAAATAATTTAAATTTTAAAGAACGTACAGATATTGTGAGCCTATCTATTGAGCGGACTATTGAGATATCCTGCATAGAGCTTGAACGGCTTGTTATGTTAAGCGTGTACAGACCCCCTCATTCATCTTACGAACTATTTGAAAAAAGATTAGATGAAGTTTTAGGCAAATTAAATAATCCAAATAAATATATTGCTGGTTGTGGTGACTTCAATGTTAATTTATTAGAAGATTCCAGTGCTAGCAGTAGGCTCATATCATTTTTCCAATGTTATAATCTTGTGAATCTTTTCTCGGTGCCTACTAGAATAACTTCTACTACTGCCACTTGTTTAGACAATATTTATACTAACGCCGTACCTAGTAATAAATCTATTATAAATAAATTAACTTCTGATCACTGCGGTCAATTGGCCACTTTTAATATAACTGTTGACAAAATGCCAAAAAAGGATATCACATGTGTTCCGATAAATAATGGTCGACTTAAAGCTTATAGAAATAATGTAATGCTTAAACTAACTGAACTTCCGTACGTTAACGATCCCAATAAATTGTATAATTCAGTTTTCAACATAGTCAAAAGTGAACGTGATAACGTTTTTAGGTACAAAATCATAACTATTAATAATTTATTGAAATTTAGTGATTGTGGGAATTCACAAAAGTAAACAAAGACTATATGATCTTTACGATGAAAGGACTTATAGCACTAGTAACAGTTTTAATGATTTTGTTAGGAAATATTCGAAAATGTTTAAACGTGTTTGTGTTGCAGCCAAAGCAAGGTTTTTAAATAATAAAATAAAAAGCAGCGCGAATGTACTAAAAACGACTTGGAATATTACAAACAGCTAAACTGGAAGGTTCAAACCTCGTAACTTAGATTTTCAACTAAGATTTAATGACAAAATTGTAAACACAGACGCAGAAGTTGCTAAAATATTTGAAATTTTTTTTACTGCCATTCCAATTTTGACTACTAAGTCGTTAAATTCATCTCCCACTGCCGCTGAATCCTTACTAAAAGAAAATAATGCAGTTAGTATCACTAATTTAAGGTTCCGTCATGTATTTCCAAACGATATTGTTAAAGCCTTTAAGTCTATAAACATAAAAAATACTGCTGATCTTGATGGTCTTTCAGTCAGAGTAATTAGTTCCATAGTTGATTGTATTGCGCCTTATTTAGCCTGTGTCTTTAATAAATGTGTTGATGATGGTGTCTTTCCCGACCTCATGAAGCAAAGTAAAGTTATTCCACTTTTCAAATCTGGTAGTATTTCTCACCCCACCAATTTCAGACCTCTATCAATACTACCAACTCTCAGTAAAATATTTGAAAAAATTATTCTAAATCAGATGTGTGCACATTTTTATAGTAATAACTTAATGTCTTCTAAACAATTTGGTTTCACTCAGGGTCACTCTACAACCGACGCTGGTGTCGAGTTGATTAATCATATATTTGATGCATGAGAAGTTTCACATGATGCTATTGGTGTGTTCTGTGACCTTTCCAAAGCCTTTGATTGTGTGCATCATGATACACTGGTCAGGAAACTTCGCCATTATGGTGTGGCGGGACGTGATCTCGACCTTCTTAAATCGTATTTGCGCGGTAGGATACAAAGGGTCTGAAAGAAAACACTCACGCCCGAGAAGTAATTATTAAATATTTTATTCAAAAATCTTATACATTTTATATTGGTTCCACATTTTGAAAATGATAGGAGTCAAAGTATTTCCTTTTTTTTACCCGACTCCACATACACGCAGGTATTCTCAAATGAGGTTTCATTACCTCTAACACCCCCTCTTAATGAAAACTTAATTAATAAATGTAAGGGGGGGGACCTCTTACTTATAAACAAAACTGAACTCAACACAGCCCTAGCATTATTCTAAATTTTCCAAAAAGCATTCTGTCAAGAGGTTTTGTAAAGATATCGGCTAACTGTTCCTTGCTATCAATGTACCTCAAAACGACAGCTCCTTTATGTACTTGTTCTCGGATATAATTGTGCCTAATATCTATGTGCTTAAGACGCTTTGAATCTAAACTCTCAGCTATTTTAATTGCACCCTGATTATCCTCGTACAAAATTGTGCTAGGCATTTTATCATACAAGAATGTATCTTCTAACATTTTACATAACCACGCAGCTTGAGTACAAGCTTGACTGAGTGCCATGTACTCAGCCTCAGTAGACGATAAAGCTACACACTGTTGCTTTTTAGAAAGCCAGCTTACAGTACACCCAAAAACTTTAAATACGTAACCAGTTGTAGACTTACGGTCTAGCAGGTCACCTGCCCAATCTGAATCTACATAACCTTCAATAAAAGAATCAGAATATTTTTTATGAAATATTAACCCTAACTCCATAGTTCCTTTTAAATAACGTAAAACTCTTTTAATAGCTGTCCATAATTCTTCAGAAGCGCAAGATTGGTAACGACTGAGTATTGACATACTATTAGCTAAATCTGGTCTCGTGGCTAACATACAATACATAATTGCACCGATAGCTTTTCTACATTTAATTTCGATGGCTTCGTTTTCAGACATATGTAATTTCAGTAAACTGTGTTTTACACTTTGGTCCATCGGTGTGGACACCGGCTTACACTCATGCATGTTAAATTTCCGTAATAATCCTGCGATATATTCTGTTTGGCTTAAAACTGTATGGTCACCGTTCTGTAACACATTTATGCCAAGATAGCACTTAGCAATACCTAGATCTTTAACTTTAAAACATTTCTGTAAATAGTTCTTTATATTGAGCAATTCATTATTGTCTGTCGACATAATTAGGAAATCATCGACGTACACCAGGAAATAAGTTTTAATACTGTTACTCACTTTATAATAAAAACAATAATCATTTTTACTGGCTGTAAAACCATATTTTCTTAAAGTGTCATCTAATGTGTCATACCAATACTTAGGCGACTTTTTAAGACCGTACAGAGCTCGATTTAATTTACATACTTTATCACTTTCTATATTAAAATTCACAGGCAAACTCACATACACAAGTTCATTTATCTTACCATTAAGGAAAGCCGTACAGACGTCCATTTGATGCTGTTTAATTCCCAATTTCACACTTATTGCAACAAACATTCTGAAAGTTGTGAGCTGTGCGACCGGCGAGTAAACTTCGGATGCCGATACAAATTCTTTTTGTTTGAAACCACGAGCTACTAAACGCGCCTTAAAAAACTTATTTCCGTCTTCGCCTTTCTTTATTTTAAAAAGCCATTTGGTATCAACTGGCTTGCAATCAGCCGGCTTGGGAACAACAGTCCACGTGTTATTCTCCGCAAGGGATGATATTTCCTTCTCCATTGCATCAATCCACTTATCAGCTTCATTGCCGTTAATTGCTTCTTCATAAGACTTAGGTTCAAATACTTCGGCAAAATGAAGTACACTATACATTTCTGAGTCTTCATATCTTTGTGGTGGTCGAATCTTACTACGATCTCTCAATCTCCTTTGTTCGCTTTGTTGACTTTGCTCGATATCAATTGTTTCTACAGATTCTTCGTTGGTAACTGTTTCGAGTTGACTATTATTTATTCTTGTTTCCATCCTTTCAACCTCTACTTCTTTTTCATTTTCCTCAATTTCACAATTATTACTATCAGTAGAGTCAATTACGCGTGAACTCGGCCGTTCCGTCTTTGTTTCTTCGATATCTGTATTTGACAGCAAAATTATATCCCTGGTCAAAATAACATCGTCTTTTTCAGGAACATAGACACGATATCCTTTTACATTTTCTTCATATCCCACAAATATTCCAATCGCGTTCTTATCGTCCCACTTCTTACGAATTTCCTTCGGAATGTGAAAAGAAACACGATTGCCAAAAACTTGAAAAGTATTAAAATCAACTGATTTGTTTGTCCAAAGTTCAAACGGTGTTTTTTTCTTTACGGGACTTGGGCCAGTTCTATTTAGTACATAAATGGCTGTATTCACAGCTTCTGCCCAAAATCTCTTGGTCATTGACTTTGCTTTCAACATTGTTCTGGCAGCTTCTACAATTGTGCGCATTTCCCGTTCAGCCCTACCGTTTTGTTGAGGCGTGTACCTTATAGAGTTTTGATGTACGATTCCATATTTATTC